AAGAGTCAGCTAGTAGCTTCATTGTCAGTCTTATGAGAGCAAGCTAAGTGAATACCCATCTCTCTCTTAAGCCAAACAGGTGAGGTTAGAGAATAATTACTTTCTGAGAGTAGAAAGGGCCACAGTTAGAGATTGGGTTGAGCACTAATCCATACTTCCTGCTGCCTTTAGATAGAGATAGTTGCTCATCTCCACTCCAGGACTGAACATCCACTAGACATTTATCCCAGCTCAAGGAAACATTTTCAACATACAATCTGCAGTTCCTAGAGGGTGGGGGATAGGGTGAAGCAATGGGCCAGGATTGGGAAAAGACTATACCCTCTTGCACATAGTGATATCAAGTAAAAGATTGCATCAGGATCCAGATTTGCTAGCTACACTTGGGTATAAATTAAGAGAAAAAGGAAGGGTAGGACCTTAATCACGTGTACTTAGTCTGCAGGAATACAAAATTTAACATGTTAGCATTACATATTTGAAATATCTCCCAATTTAGAATCCCTATCAATAAACTTATCTGTCTCCTTACATCCTGCCCAACTGCCATTTGTTGGATAGGCTGAAGTTAAAAAGGGGACAGAGTCCACTGCAGAAGTAGGATAGTAACTATATAGTAGAAGGAGTCTCAGGCAGAAAAAAAAATAAAAGGAGAGGACAGTGAGAGAAAAATCTGATTGTTGCAGTCTGGGACAATTTTTATTTAAAAACTGAGTCAGAAAAGAAAAACAGGTAGGCAGCTGTTAAGGATTTCATGCTTCTCTTCTGCACACACATTTAGAAGTCAAGACAAAGGAGGTGGTGATTCACAAACATCTAAATAGCTTTGGATACGCCCAAGGATTAGGACTAAGTGGCAACCTTCTCCCAATGGGGCCACAAAACCTCAGAAGAAATCCTTCATGGCACTAGCTGACATGGAGCAAGGCTAGCAGAACTGAAGTGCCAGTGGGAGGTAGATAGATGGATGATCCTGAGCTAGAACCCATGCCTTGCAAGAGTAGGTCCCTGGTATTCAGGGCACACAGAAGTTCCTATATCTATAAGAAGGGGACAAAATGTGAAAGCAATGCTGGACCTAGAGATTGCAGGGGGAAAGATGTATAGATTCGTTTTTTTGTGTGTGTGTGTGTGTGTGTTTTTTTCCTTTTGGACAATTTATTTCTTAGTTCCTCCAGCAATCAGCATAGTATTGGAAAGTAGTAATTTATTTTCTTTTTTAAAAAATTTTCTTTTTTTTTTACTTTTATTGTTGAAAATATTACATATGTCCCCCTTTGTATGCATATAAGTATAACCAATGGATACAGACAATAGGAGGGTGAAAGTCTGGGCTGGGAGAGGTCAATGGGGGTGCGGAGGTAAAGAATGATGACTCTTAGACCAGGACAAAGGTCCGGGGTCTAAGACTGAAGAGGTGAATGTTAGCACAAAAGCTGGATAGACCAACTATGGAGCAGTCCCAACCAGCTGCTTTCAGCAGGGTTCAGCTAAAATCCATAGGAATATATATGAATCTGAGACCCTTTCTCTTCCCCTAACTGCCACAAAATCATGTCAACTATATCCTTTCCCTATACAGCTGGTTATATTAGAGAAGTGCAGGCAGGGAAAGAGGAAATCTGGGAGACTAAGGATACAACCTAAAGAGCCTGAGCATCTGCCTAAAAGGATTGCTAAATTCTACTGCACTCAGTGTATTGGGTTATACCAAAAGTTAGACACTGCCTGTTTCTCACATGCAATTGGTTTGTGAAGAAGGTCAGATGAGTGATAGAATTAAAAAAAAACTAATTTCTTTGAGCATCTGAGGGTAATATAGTGAGTACTTTTGTAATCCTCCTATATTATACATTAAGTTAATAAGGAAAGTGTCCAAAAAGCCATTTAACAAGAAAACTTTTTATTGATAGAAAAGCAAAACAAATTTTCCATGAATTCTAATATCTGTTTTATTATTGTTTCTTAGATATATTCGAGTTCAAAAATCAGTTTTTCTGCTGTTGTTCTTGTTGTCATCACTATTGTTAATCTCTCTATAAAAACAACCCAATTAAGTCACAAGTCTCTGCCTCACATAGAACCACTTCATAAGACATTGTCCCCGATTAAAGTTAATTAAATTCTTATTCTTAGCTAAGCATTCCTACATGGCACCAATTGTATTATTAGGTTGGTGACATTAATAAGTATTGATGTTAAGCCATCAGTTATTTCTCAAATGCTATCAAATAAACTAAAAAAAATCAGAATCAGGATAAATTATTATTCAATCAATGATTAAATACCGCTCTATAAGTCAATCCATTCATGTGAACCAAATATCTATAAGCCGCAATTATTAGTTTCAACAGAGGCTGGCCTAGATAAGTGGCTTTTCAAATTCAGATTCAAAGTGGACTTGAGGAGTCTGACCAGATTAGATGAAAGTTTCCGGTTCTAATTTAACCTACAAGTTCCACATAATATCAGCTAGCAATTGCTCACCTGTCACCCACAGAAAAAAATTGAAAGCATATGTCTTCACAATGAAAAAAAATAGAATTTTGAACATTATCTAATTAATTCCATTGATATAAATAGAAATGATGGAAAAGTCAGATGCCAAAGTTTTTAAAGCTAATTTATCCATATTTTCCAAAAACTACTTATCAAACTAAACATATAATGGTCATATTTTTACTTTACCTTTAGATATGCAGATATGTTTTATTTCCACACAACATATAGATTAAAAATAGAAAATTGAGCAACAATCCAGGTTTGTGGTCTAGGTGGTCCTAAACCTCTTCTAGATGTTTTTTGCTTTCCACCTAGATATTAAGACCACATAGATATGGTCACGAGTTCATTATCATTGCTAATTTGAGTCACTACCTATGAAAGGAAGCTTATCTAATTACCAATTTCCCAAGCCAACCAGAACTCTCCCCTTTCATTAAATAAAGAGAAAGGCATTCAGATTTGACCCCAGAGAAATAAGTACATGCATATACCTGACTTCTCAGTATCCTCTCTGGATAAGAGGATGGAATAACTATTTGGTTTCCATCTCATTCTTGTAATGGCAGAAAGGAGAATACAAAAAGTCGATTGTAAATTTGTACAAAATGTATGTATATATAAATACATATCTATGGGTGTATATAAATTCTAAAGAAGATTATATCCATCTACATCTTTAAGATTCAGAGTCCCATACAGTTGACATAATGGTATTCTCTCTCCAATTTTTTTCATTTTTAAAAACAATAAGAATCAAGCATGCCACCTTATTAATACTGAATAGCAAGTGCAGAAGTTGAGCTATAGCTATAGGGATTTGAAGCAATTAGTTTGACGGGACATCAGTGAATAAAATCTTTAAGATAGATTTAGCTATTTCCAGATTGTCTTTTGTTTTATAATAATGAAATCCAAAATGCTCTGTTGATACATCCCAAACTCCTTAGACTGTCAATTGAGCTCTTATAAGAAGCAATACTTTAAACAGGATCTGTGCAAATTGCTTGGATATGTGCCTATTGCAATAATTTGGTGGGACTGGCATGACTAGAATTTCAGGTAATTCTCTCTCTCATAAAGAGTCTCAAGTGATATCTCTGGAAGCTTAAGGTTCTGAGAATATTAAACTCAGCATGAAATTTGACTCACAAACCACATCATCTTCACACACAGCAGTATTAAAAATATTAAACCAGAGTCAATTAATGGAGAAAGGCACACATAATTTAAAGGTGCCCAATAAGAGTATGTTATGGATGTGTGCCCATGTTTAGCAATATCAAGATATTTTTTAAGAACAACATTCATAATGCTATCATTTCTTCTGTTTCCTCTATTCCTTTGGAGGTAAATTACACAGGACAATTTCATAATTACCCTTGGAGTCTACAGGCTGCTCCTTGGAAGGGGATTATTATTATTGCATGCCTTGAATGCACTATGATTCATAAGGCAAGAATGTATGAGTGGCTTCAGCACCAAGGAAATGGAATCATCATCCAGCCTTGCTCACAACAGAACATCTTATTGCTTTTAATAAAATGGGAAATTATTCACTATAAAGAGTGCACCAAATAAGGGGTAGAAAGTAATGCTCATGCACTTAATGGAGTTCAATGGAAATGAGGAAGCTCCCTTCTGAGTCCTTGATTCTATTCAAATTTCAAATCCAAAAGTCATTCTGTAATAAGGTATTAAAGAGCTACAGCCAGATGAGGGTGAACTACAAATATTAATGGACTTTCTTCTACACAGTGCCTTAGTCCTTCTGATGTACAACGTATAACTCTGATGCACTAAAGGGTTTCCTAGTGGCCTGAGGGAGTTAATGCACTCTTTTACTTATTACTAGGAAGTGACTAAGGCACTGGAGAGAATCTGGTTCATTGTTTAATATATTGTACCCAAAGATTATATACCTGGTCTCCCTAATATGACCACATGGCATGCTTAAATGATGATCCTCTGTGCTTTAGGAAAGGACTTGAATGAATATCTAATGAGTGACTAAAATTAAGCTTATTTAATTATTTTTTACAAAAGATGCAGACTGAGTTTGGGCGAATTAACCTCAGAGGTAATATTTTTCTCTGGGAAAAAGCACATATGCTTGGAACCGGGACAAAGAATCTGGAACTACTAATTATTTGGGAGGGGATTCACTTAGGGGCACTGTTGCTTTATACCCTGCAGATTAGTAAGGACTCCTTTGGTTGAGCTTTTTGTATAACATTCTCACTCATACATTTTCCAAATGTTTGAATAGCTGTCAAGGATTGGTTTCTAAGAAGGGATGTCACTGCATATAATTAAGATTGTAATATTCTCTGCTCTCACCATCATCAGTCCAGGGGAAACAAAGTGGTAAGTAACCATGGGTGGACTCCATTACTAGCATAGATTGCCTTCTCTGGCATCAGGAGAGAGAACAAAAAAACAACAACAACAATTAATCTTTTTCTCTCACTTTCCGTGTTTTTCAACCTTTCTTCATGTATTCATTGAAGTTAGGTAAGCCAGACTCATAAAGAGAAAGAGAACACTTCCTTTGCCATATTTCAAATGCAAGCACAGATTTCTAAGTAAGCAAGCTGCAAATATTTTTATCCTATAAGTAGTTACTGGGCTTAACTTCTCTTGAAATTTACATGTCCTGTCATCCAAATTGCCCAACATCCCCACCAGTCTCACCTCCAAACACATACAGTACAAGCAAGCATACACACTACTGCCTCCAGGTGGTAATTGCATGCAGGGAGGATTACAGGCACTGTTTAAATATTAGCCATGTTTTAATAGATGGCATTCCTGCACATCCATTATTTGTTTTCTATTGTGGTTGTTTCTGTTATTTGCAAAAGAAAAACATATGTGTTATATTTATATAACAGTCTACTACAGAGTAAGATACAAAAGAACACTTCTGGAAACAGTAGAAGTCAGACCTGCACCACTGAATTTCTCATCCAGTGATAACCATTATACCAACAGCTGGAAATTAGAACAAGAATATACAGTTTGGAGGATGTATAACAGAACTATAGTTTGCTTCTGTATTTGGTACCAATGTAATAAATGTATAACAAAGGTGTACTTCTCCTAAAAATTAAACAGAAACATTCTGGTTGGTTAGATACTGCACTTTCAGTACTGAACATCACCTAATAGTTTTGTTTTGTTTGTTTTTTTTACAAAAAAAGGTAACTTATACAATATTAAATATTAAGAAAACCTATAGTACACACAAACCAGATTGTAGAAAAAGAAGAAAGAAACCAACAAAAAATAGAATAGTCACTTTCCAAAAAGCCCCTCCTTCGCCTGCACAACCAAAAAAAGTAACCAGTTCTGTGAGGCTATTTCAGCACCAGACCTGGCTGGACAGCTCCCAGGTCCTTTGTGAATCCTGAAAATGCCACAAGTCAAAGGTGTACAGGTGGGGATTGGGCAGAGAGCTAAAGCAGTAGATTTTTAAAAACTAATTTAAAGATTTTCAATGTACTTATGCTCGGCCAGCGAGGGGCATATCTAAAAGTAAATTAAAATGCCTTGTCCTGGAAAAAGGAATGGTTAACTAAGGAGTGAGAAGAGGAATGACTGGAGAGCAGTACCTGTCATAACGTTTTTCTGGGACTGTCTCTGCGGCCTCTGGTAGTCCTGGCGCTTAATGTAGACGTTTTCTTCATCATATACTATTGCCTGAGCCTGGCTGAGGGAGGGGATGAGGAAGGGAGAGAATCTGACGGGAAAGTGAAAGCTTGGGGGGCGGAGGGTAGGGGAACCTTAACCTGACAGCTATGTACAACACACCGGGCCCCTCCACTCTTTGCTCCGGGTTAATACCTGTTATATATTTGGTAGCATGTGCGGTTTCTCCTCCTTATTGTGGGGGGCGCAGGGTGGAGAGGGAAGACGCATCCTTCCTTGACAATGAGAAATTACGTGATTTGTCATGCGCTTGGATTGTGTTATTAGTATTATAATAATTACTATAAATATTAATAATAAAGTATTCTTATCAGCGTTATTTCTTCTTCCGAGACTTTCCTTACCCAATATTTACAAATACCGCACAGTGCCTCGGCGGAGGAGAAATAGTAAGGGGAGGGCAAACAAGGAAAGAAGGAAAAGGAGAGGTCAGAGAAAAGTGAGAGGGGGGACTGAGGGGAACAGCGAGGACTGCAATGATGCTGGAGACAAGGAAGGGGGAGGAGAGGGGCTAGACAATCAGGACAGTACCACCGTTTGCAAAAGGGCCTCGCCAGCTGTGTCCAAACAGGAGGAGGTGGCATGTGCTCCTTGAGGACTGGGGACGGGCGGCGGAGGCGGAGGAGCATAGGGACCCTGGCATGGGAGGCCTGGGGTTGAGGAGGAGGAGGAGGAGGAGGAGGGCCGGGTTTCTTTTGCGTGGGTTGGGGCCTGGCCACTGGCCGGGGCCTCTCTGCCCCCGCGGTTGCCGCTGCAGTGATCCCGCTCGTATTCCTCCTGAGCCCTCTGCATCTTCCGCTTCTTCATCCTTCGCTTGTGGATGTGGAAGGTGGAGAGGGACAGCACGATGAGGCAGAAGATGAGGGTGACCAGCACAATCAGCACCAGCGTGGAGGAGAAGGACTGGAAGAGCTGCTGTCCCACCTGCGTAATGCAGGTGCCGCCGCCGGTGCCCTGGCCGCGGGCACTCGAGTTGCCGCTGCCGCTGGCGTTGGGGGACGCAAAGGTCCGGTTGAGGAGACAAGGCGGCAGCGCCAGCCTCAGCTCCTTGGGCGCCCTGGCACTCATGGGCGCGGGGCTGGGAGGGGCCGGGCCTACCAGACTTCCTCTCTGGGGCACACCGTTCCCACCGGCCGAGGGAGGACGGAGCCCAAGCCAACCAAAACTGCTCCCCGGTGTGGGAGCGGATGCGCAGGAGCAAAGGGCTGAGGGAGTAACTGCGGGCAAGCAAGACGTCAGGAGAGCGAGGGTGCCCAGGAACGGCTCTCCGGACCCGCCTGGAACGCGTGTCCGAGAGCCCTTTTTTCTTTGCCAAGGCACCGTGCTGCAAAGAGAACAGGCTAGGTTAGGATCCGGGCGTCGCCCAGGGCAGTGGGGGAGAGGAAGGACCCGCGCCACTGCAAAGCCCTCTGGGCACTCTGCCTCCGCGGACCTGCGCGTCCGCTCCGCAGCAGGAGGACCCCCGCCCGCCCGCCCCAGGCCGCGCTCCAGAGCCACCAGCTTCGGGCTAGCTCCGCTGTCAGGGGAGGGGTCTGCGCCCGCACCCCGGAGATGAGGATTGCTCAGCAGATAAGGCAGGCTCTCCTCGCCCTTCACAACTTTCTAATTACAACAGGCACGCAGCCGCCTCGGAACGCGGTGCCCGCTTCCAGATCCATGCCTCTCCTCTTCCCTGCTCCCGCTCCGGCTCCGTGCTTGTCTTCGCCAGGATCCCACCCTTCCCAGCACCCACCCCGGCCGCCGAGCGGGCTCCGGGAATGCAGTTCTCCCTTCCCGTCCCTCCACCTCCGACTCTCCCTTTCCAGGCGGCGTCAGACCCCTTGGGTCCCATACCCCAGGGGGGCCGCGGGCACCTCATCCCACTCCTCCTCGTCCAGGGCCGCGGCTGACGCGCAGGATCGCGCTCCATTCTATCCCCAGCCTTCATCCCAGTTATCTCCTCC